CATACTTTATTTTTATTTGAGTCATCTTTTTATTTTTTATTTTTTTCTAGTAATGGATGTTTGGGATATTATATAATGTATCTTAAGGGAGTTTTTATTATGTGTCCACAACGTATTCTTTTGTAGTTTTTCAGGTAGCTTCGAGTTTTCATGAACCTGTTCATTTGAGCCATCTAGTGTCTTATGTTCTCATAATCGGTATCTTAGCCTTGTCCAATTGATCCAACACATTTTTTTATTTTATTTTTATTAATGTTCACCTAATACAAAGCTCAAGAGCCACTTAAGGTAGAGATTAATGAATGAGGGGAGTGGTATGGATGTAAGAGGGGGAAGTAGGGAGTGAAGATTATGAGAATATAGCGGATAGATAACGGTTGACTTTAGACTTGAAGAGTTTAAGATTGTAGTGTCATGGGAAGTATCCCCGCGGAAGTTTGGTTAACAAAGAGGAGGTTCTTTGGAATAAGCTGAGGGGAACTAGAAATAAGTAGAATATAAAAAGAACGCGGGAAATTCCACCCCGTAGATGTAGTTTGGTGGGTCTTAGCTGTAAAGGACTGAACGGGTGAAACTAAAGAATGGAGCTCGTCAAAACATTTGCCATGGAAATAGCGATAGTATAAGGAGAGACTTGAGGCATTGAGTTTGCGGTGAAAGGGTTTTAGGATAGAAAGAGACGGCATAATCGATTTTAAACTCTGTCAAGGCTGGAAAGTAAGAGTTAAACAGTCCCAGTCCCAAAATGTAGCAGCAATGCTTCATTTTTGTACTGATCTGACACTTGTAAATATAAAGCACTATCTCTTATGGTCTGATTTCTGGCTGAAGTAGTTGCATCCTTCCCAAAGTGTCGAAGCGAGAGTAAAAAAAAAAAAAAAAAAAAATCAGGGATACTGAATTTTAAAACAGGCAGGACGTCCCTACTTAAGAAAATGACGTAAAATAATTTTCGTACCCACCTACAGAAATGTACAATGAAATAAAAATACAATTCGTAGCTATGGTTGCGAGCCGAGATAAAAAGCCAAGATTTCAAATGCTAATTTTCAGGGTGGATAGTTCATCTATTCCTATTTTTAATTCACATTCTTTGCATCATTAAATGTTTTAAATGAAATCTAAATTTTGGATTTAGTAGGGGGAATTTTTGATACAATCATAACGGTTGATTACTCGTTTCTAGGTTTGCCCATTTGGTCGGACAGCAAGCTAATTCCTGCTGCAGCCAAATGGTAAGGTACATATTCGTGCTTCATAAACACCAACAGAGCCAACCTTTGGTTCACACACACACACACACACACACACACACACACACACACACACACACACACACACACATACATATATATATATATATATATATATATATATATATATAAAAAAAAAAAACAGACCACTTTAAGGCTCCATTGTAATAGTTTATTTCACTAGACCTTTTAAAGGACGCTGGATCATCAGACATCACTTCTAAAAGGTGAAACGAAAAATGAAAATTTTTTATTTTCATTTTTCGTTTCACCTTTTAGAAGTGACGTCTGATGATCCAGCGTCCTTTAAAAGTTATCTGGTGAAATAAAACTATTACAATGGAGGTTTTTAAAGTGGTCTGTTTTTAAAATTATTAGCTCTGAATTTACATTGAACTCTCAGGATTTCACCCTCCTTGGTACTACCCATACGGATTACCAAGTTTTTCGTAACTTAACTATATATATATATATATATATATATATATATATATATATACAAGTATTATCACTTGATAAGACACCGAGAGTGTTGAAACAAAATGGCTATTTTTGTAGTGATTTTATAACATATTTATGTTATAAATTTTTTAAAAAATAAATAATATATATATATATTTGTGGAGGTATAATCTGGTATGATCAATGGTTCGACAAACCAGTACACTCGAACTTTTGGTTACGATGACTCGCGAATCCGTACTAGACTAACGATTGACGGCTTCCAAACAGTTTCGTCTATGCAATTTCATTCACAAGGATTGGGTCAACCCGTAATATGATTTTCCTAAACGGTACCATACGTGGGATCGTTTCTGAGTACGACATTATCAACTCCCCGAAAAATCGATTATGGAGGAATCCGAACTCAGATCTCATGATCGGAAAGCGAACCACTTGGCCACACTCGCCAATGTACACGTGTGTACGCGCGCAACACAATTTTCCTACTCCTTTTTACGTATGAAGTTGTGTTATATTTAATTTAAAGTAAAAAGATTATATTGAATCAATTGCTAAGTCTGCAGCTAGGAAAGTTGGTTCACTGTGTGGAGCTAGATGATTTAAATTTAAATGCAATGTCAATCGTTATCATCTAACTTCTTAATTCTTGTTCTTTTATTGTTCTCTCCTTAATATTTGCTCATATTCTCTAACACTCAGTAACCCCTTACATTTTAATGGCTTTATTGCCTTGCTTGGGGTCGAATGATTAAAAAAAAGCACTACCAATCTATTCAGAAAATGTGCGCGAGAGAGATCATAAAGGGCATTTTATGCTTGTGTTGAAAATATTATTTTCTTCATTAAACTCCTTTAGCATCTGAAAACAGAAAAATTAAATAATAAAGATAGCAATTTTTAAAATATGTTATATATATATATATATTTATTTATTTAATTTACAAAAAGAAGAGACAGCAGGTGTGCCGTGTTATATTGGTTACACTTTTGGACATTTCTTTTACTTTTTTATCAACCTGAAAGGCGCGAATTACTTTACTCTGATTATTGGCACGAAGTTTGATGAACTAGTCCCTCCCCACCGATTGGCACGGTCACTAACAGATGCACCAATGAGCAATGAAAGCCCAACCCAAATTGGGACATCGAAATAGTAAACCGCATCTGGGCATTGATTCAAAAAAAAAAAAAAATCGAAATGTTTTTTACCCTCATCATCATTTGTTTATAACAATTATAATAACAACTAGCTGAATACCCATAAAAATGACGCGATTATTTACATACAGACAGTTTCTCCTGTTTAGGATCAAAATGTGGCTTCTACGGGGCTTCTACAACTTACAGTCAGAGTGTAGCATCTGTACGCTCCGTGGAAAGCGTTACGCAGACGCAAAATACAAGGACGGCTCCGAAAGCAATGCTTCCTATTTTATTATCAGTTCATAATGGCGGTGGCGTGGGAGTAGGGGCTTTTTATAATACATAATTTGGAGTCTGGCAAAATGGTGTCTGTACGAAGCAAAGATGTATAAATGAATTCCTCCATACGGAAATAAAAATGCATCCGACATTCACAAATGCATGATGAATGATTACGGAGAAGAAACAGTGGATCTAAGCACAGTTGAGCGGTGGGTAATACTTTTCAACAGTAGCAACAGCGACGTGGCTGACAAGCCATTTTCCTGATTGCTTTGCAAAGTAGTCAGCCTAAGAAATAAAGAGCCTTCTGAAAATGCAGAGCCTATAGTTGTGACTGTATGGAAAAGAGTGTTTTTAGCTGAAATTTTGATATATCCGGCAGTGTTATTTTGCTCTTTGTATCTGTTGTGGTAACCCCCCCCCTACAGTAGAATGAACTCTTCTTCCTCTCATAAATACTAACTTGAAGAGTCGGTTGGGAGCCAGAGACGCAGTGTTAACCTAACGTTCAGACGTACACCTTTATCTGCTTATTACTAACACACTTGCTTTGTATATATCTGTTATTTCAATATACTTGTCCAACCTACTTTCGTCTTCCGTGTCTTTCTAGCCCCTAAACAAGCCACAACAGTATCACTGTTGTTTCTGTGGAAATAGATAGAAAGTATTGCTTTCGGGGTGTCACTCACTCACACGTAAATTTCTGCCAAGTTTAGTAAATAATATCTCATCGCGATAAATTTGACATCTGTGCCCGCAAAAAAAAAACCCCATAAAAAACAAAAAACAAAGCAAAGAACAAAAAAAAGAAAAAAAAAGAAAAAACCAACAAAAAACAGAACGTCAAAACAACTCTATTTTTCTAACTACCTTCGCTCCTCGGCAATGTTTATTGATTTAAAAAACAATGATAATGATTAGAATTGTAATAAAACCTAAACATACATTTTTTGTTCTTTAGAATTTACAACGAAAATATTAAACACTAAATTAAATATATTAAATTGCTATTTACAAGATATTAATATAATATATATTAAATTGTTTATTTACAAGAATTTTATATTTACAACATTCCAATCACCAATATAACTGTACTAAAACTTACATAATGCAATATTTATCATTTACCAATTTATAATTTGTTATTCATGAACATTTACCAAATTATTAAAATACATGAACCAAATATAAGAAAATCCTTATTATTTATTTTATAAAGTTTGAATCAAATGGCAATTAACCGATGTTTTACAATATAGTAGTGCAAATAATCAATAAATAATGTTTATTATATATATATATATATATATAATAATAAATAAATAATAATGTTTATTATATATATATATATATATATATATATATATATAATAATCAATAAATAAATTTATATATATATATATATATATATATATATATATATATATATATATATATATATATATGTGTGTTCAACCTGAAATCATCAAACCTTCTGTTTCAGATATTATTCTACATTCTACTAACACGTGTATATATAAAAATATATATATATATATATATGAAGAAATATAGTCTTAAGATGTGCTATATTTATGGGAGAAAATGCTCAGTATCAGAGATAGAGCGTGCGTAAATATAAAAGTGAACATAGTAGTCAACACTTAGAGGCGACAGTCTGTTTCATGCTAGATGCAATCGTCAGGCCTGATATATATATATAGTCAAAATTTGCAATATTTATTTACTAAGATAGTGTAAGTTGTAGCTGGCCAATGAAAACACCATTTTTGTAAATAATATTTGCTCTAATATAAAACGTTGAGCACTCTTTGTCGCCCCAATGTCCTTTGTGGGTATTTTCCTCTTTAAATGAATCTCTCTCTTTTTATATCTATCTATCTACCTATCTATCTATCTACCTACCTACCTACCTACCTACCTATCTATCTATCTATCTATCTATCTATCTATCTATCTATCTATATATATATAACAAATCATTTTGACAATGTCTTGTCAGTCGTACTTCACGATAATAGACAGAAAAATTATGACAGAAGTGTGGATATGGACACTGCAACCATCCGTATATGCTGTGTAGTAACAGACGGCATAAAATACGATAACACAGAAACAGCGAAAGCATTATAGAAACTAAGCAAAGCATTATGATATAAGATAAGCTATTTCGACTGAATAATATTGAAACAAAAGGCAGCGCTAAATCATCCAAATGAAGCAAAGATTCAAATCGGCAGCAAATGGTGAAATTCAAATTTGATTGAAAGAGGCAGATACAAGTTGAAACCCTTCTGAGAGTAATAGAACATTTTTCCTATAATAGCTACAAAAATGTTAACAAGGCGTGGCTTTATCGTTTCAAGACAGAAGCTGTGCGGAGACATATTCTTAAGTAATCTGGGAAAGGTTGGCTGTGTGCATTGTTTTTTGCTCAATAATATTGGCTCAATATGATTGAGGTCAATAAAGAAGCCAGAATGTCTGATCCTCTAATTTACATAACATTCTTATTTGTTTTCTTTAATAGCGAGGAGTTATTTTTTGGCAACTCCGGACATTTAGATGTCTCTATTCTAATCAATTGAATTTTTATACTTTATGTCGTTTATTTTCTATTTGTTTTAAGCTTTCTTCAATTTTCACCTTTTGTCTTGTTTTTGTTTCTTTATATATTTTTTTCACTTTCTTCTCGCTTTTAAAAAAAAAATGTCATTCCTATTTCGCTTTCATATTTGTTTATTTACTTATTTATTAATACTTTCACTTTCTGTATTTTTCTTGTTTTTTCTTACAACTTTAACTTATGTTACTTATTACCACGCCGTCTGTCATTGTATTTCCTTTTACTTCTAGTTTCACTTTCAATTTTCTACATACGATTTTTTCTCTTTCTCTTTATTTTTCAAATGACAGAAACATTTGGCATCAAAATTCCGACCGCCCCTTTTCACTCAATGGATTCACGCCAATAACCTCTTCATCATTCATTCAATTGGTAGCATGGCGGCATTTCTTAGCATTCGTAGCTCACGTTCAGGTTCCCGTTCAACCGACAACCGCAGCCAGTCCGTTCTTTCCAGTGAGTTAGAGAGAGCTTAGAAGAATATCAGACTCCCATGAGGAGAACATGGTAGTGGTAGGAACCGTATAGGGAAGTTTGGTAAGATTGGAACTTAAAAGACAAAGTGACATTAATCAAAGGATATAAAACTAGAAATATTTCTACGAATCTTTTCCATGCCAACGTGTTGGCTGGGTGGGCTAGAATAAAGAAACATTCTTGTGCCAATTGTGAGGTATGGGTGAAGGTTGGAGAAGGGAAGGGAGAAAGTTAGGGTTCGAGAATTGGGTACGGGGAAAAGACTATCGACTTCCACTTGCGTTTTTCTTCTTCCTTGGCACGAGATTTCTTTTTATTTCGTCAAAGAAAAGAGAAATCAATGTTAATGTCAGCAATTTCCTATTATATGGGTGTGGCTACACACATACACATACACACACACATATATGTGTGTGTGTGTGTGTGTGTGTGTTCGTGTTTTCTTATATGCGTATGTAAACGCATCCAAGTAACGCATGTATATATTTTAAAATTTGTATATATTTATAGAGGCATATTTATGCACACATGAAACCTAAGGTCGTAGCCGGCCAGTAGAGACAACATTTTTGTAAATTTTATTTACTCTGCTATAAAACGTGGAGCACATTTGTATCGCCAATGTCCTTTATTTTACTCCTTAGCGGCTATTTTACAGTTTGCCAGTGTATTGTCAGTGATGCTCCACGATACTAGACAGAAAAATCCAATCTTTTATCAAGGTCGTGTATTAACAGATAACATAAAATACAAAAGGACAGAAAAAGCGAAATATGTTATTGTTGTGTATGATACACCTAATTTACATAAGTGGAGTACCGACCATATAAATATGGGTTGGTACCGGAAGACGACGGAAGATTAAGAGATCGAATCCAGAGACTCTGCCCGACTGCGACTTAGTCAACCCATTCTGCAGGAACAGTCTTCCCAAGAATATACCAAAACTACCTGTAAATATTGTGTACCTTTTTTCATTGTTTCAATACATTTTGTTACGTACATTTTGTGTTGTATTATTATTATTCCATGCTTATTCAAGCTTCAACAGTTATTTACTCTGCTATAAAACGTTGAGCACATTTGTATCGCCAATGTCCTTTATTTTACTCCTTAGCGGCTATTTTACAGTTTGCCAGTGTATTGTCAGTGATGCTCCACGATACTAGACAGAAAAATCCAATCTTTTATCAAGGTCGTGTATTATCAGATAACATAAAATACAAAAGGACAGAAAAAGCGAAAGATGCCGTATAGAAATTAAATAAAGTATTAAGTTATAGGAAAATGTGTCTTCTTATATGGGTATGTAAATCCAGAAAACATTTTAACCCTTTTTGTAATGACATTCTCCGAAGTTTACTTCAGAATCAAAATACTTTAGCAGAAACTTGTATTTTTTTTACTAGTGTCTATGAGTACTGAAAACTTTTCAGCCCAAGAACCTCCCGGGCTGATAACTTATCAGCGCCCCGTAACCAACATTGAAAACACAATCGATGTTACTTATGAAACAGAAACAGACAATGCATTACCTTTCTTTGATATCATGTTAAACTGTACTGATAACGATCTACAACTAAATGTATCTTGAAAATCCACCAAGAGAAATGACATCATAAACTTCTATTCATACCATAACAACAAAATAAAATCCAGAATAATTATCGGTTTCTGCTTAAAAGCACTCAGAATTTATATCTCTCAATATTTACATGATGAAGAGAAATACATTAAAATACATTTAAACTCCTCCAATATCCAAATGATTTCACATATCACAAACAAAAATAAATGTTGCACACATACACACACACACACATACACACACACACACACACACACACACACACACACACACACGAGTGTACACTGAGGTCAACAACAAGTGGTTCTGTCTGTTTCATGGCCTGAAGATTGGGTTCGAGTACGAAACAGACTATCGCCTTTCGGTGTTGACCTCAGTGTCCACTTTTATACACAGTCTATCTCTGATATTGAGTACATTTACCTCTACATGTAGCATGTAAATGTATGTTTTATTACACACACACACACACACACACACACATATATATTGTGATATAGGAATCAACTATGTGTGGTAACTATGAGTACCCCTAGTACGTACTTTGGCTTGCTTCGATGTTGTGTATACTATCTGCTTTCATCCAAACAACGTAAAATAAAGGCAAGAGCTTTGAATTTTGATTTCCAAGGCAAGCTGATTAGCCCTTATCAGTTGGAAGATTGGTTTAACGCCAAGTTCCTATTCACCTTAGACCTCACTTGCCACTGTACTCACCTAAGCTGAGCCTAAGACACGCACACACACAAACACACGCGCGCACACCCACACACACACACATATATATATGTGCGTGTGTGTGAGTATATGTGTGAGTGTATGTGTGGTTGTTGTACACTCACTACACAATAACCACCGCCCATCTTCTGGAAGCCACATGGTACCCACGCCATGCCATTGTTTATATCCATTTATATCTTGCACAACGCTATATGGTCTCTCGGCATCAGGCAGTCTTAATCCAATGACAAGTATCAGTCAAGACAATTGAAGGCTGCGTGTGCCGCGTAGGATTCGAATAGTCTAATGATAAGACAAATGTGGGTTCGGTATTACCCGAATCCTATTACAATAATATGACTTCTTCCATTTCACTTTTGTTTAACAGCATAACAAAAAGTTACATCAATTAGCGTCCTCCATAGTTTTTTTCTTAACACAGGTGTAGAATATTTTAGAGCATTCTCTAATTTAAAATTTGAGTGCATAACGTTATTTTTTCTCTACATTATTTCATCATGAATGTTTAAATACAGCTTCCCGAATAAAATTTATACATTCGCCTTGACAAAGTTGCCCCAAAAGAACAAAACGCGTTGACATATATAACAAAGGTAGTTAACGCCTAAGAAACCATGTCGGTCAATACTGGATTTTGATGAGTTTAAATTTGAGCAACTATTTGTAAACGAAGTACTCAAGATAAGAAAAAACAGAGCACCAACACTTTGATAAAAAAAATAAAAAAAAAGATTTTTTTTTTTTTAATAATTTCACCCCAAGCAAGGCAATAAAGCCACTAGAACGCAAATGAGAATATGAGAAAAAATACTATTAGGGAGAGAGGACAATAAAAGAACAAGAATTAAGAAGACAGAAGATAACGATTGACATTGGACAAGGACATAGCTCTGTGGTTAAAAGCGTTGGTTAAAGTAATACAAAAAGTGACTTGACCCCAAAAGTTGTGAGTTCGATACCTGGCCACGGAAGAGGGAACAAAACCTTGGAGAGTTGAGTTACGAAAAGGAATTAACTAAAACTAAGACATCAAAAAACGTCATGATACGTGGAATTAGAACAATCTACCCCCGTGGACTAAATAAAGGGTTCAGTTCGAAATCCCAACATATTTCACCTGAAGAAGGCCGGAGCGTACAACGGCCGAAAGGTTGTGAATATGGCAATAAAGATGAGGACAACAGTCCGAACGATGTATATTCTTCTTTTCTCCCCCACCTTGCTATGGGTAAATAGCAGGACAGACCAGGTTCTATAGCCTTGGATGGCAACTGGTCTACCGCAGAAAGAAATGGCAACCTACTACGGGAAAAAATCTGCCTCATCAGTCATGTGTCGAAAGATACATGATCGCCTAGGCATGTATTACATGACTGTAAATTTACGTCCAGGATCATATATCTCCTTTCCTCATAAAACTGCTGCTGATACTATGCGATAAAAATAATTGTGAATGGGAAAGTATACCTATAAGAGTAACGAGTAAAATCAACATGGCGGATCAGAAGTTGTGATAGTTTGACTCATACGGATAAAACTTTGAACAAAATCAGAAGAAACAGCCTTTCGAATGGTTCGAACGATGTAAATAATATAAAGAAACATATATTTACAATCAGAATTTATGATTTATTTGTTTTTATGGCTTGTCGATCTTTTGCAGGTTATTTCAAGCCAGAAAGTATTTTTAGATTGTAATAAAAGTCCTACTAATTAACCCATAGCTGGGGAGAGAAGAAGTGGATTCGTATCTTTCTCAAGGGCATTTGCGCGTAGGTGAATATAACAAACCCGACTGGAATTGGAACTTTGCTTTCTGATTTCAATTTCCGAGCCGTTATCCACTATACCGCCATTAGATCTATCAAGCAGTGACCCATCCAGGTACTGATCAAATGATCGTACGAGAAGCGGTGTTTTGACATGATATGGCCGTAAGCCTTTACAATCAGAAGATGAAAGTTGACAGGAAGTTGTGGTGAGTTATGATCACCCACGTACTGAAGGGACATCATGCATAAACTAAGAATACAGGAAGGCTGGAAATTACAGCGACCGAAACATTGTAAAAGCTATGCAAGGACAGATAAAAGAACGATTCTGAACAAAAGAATAGAATTTACGCATAATACTGATAATATTATGGACGGACAACTGGAATGTTTTAATGTAAAGAGGAACAACAAATAAACTTGTGTCAGAAAGAGGCAGTTGAAATTTCTTAAGGGAAAGGGGGCATGGAGAATTTGACACTTACAAAACCTATTGAAGGTAAGAAAAGCTGGAGAAACAGCTAGCAACCTATTTAACGGATTTCTTTGAATGGATAGAAGACAGAACAAGGACAAAAAAATAAAGAATGATAAAGGGCGAAAAGTTACTTAGAGCAACAAATTGACAGGGAGTAGTGGAGAGTCATGATCACCTAGGCCCTGAATAACATGATGTATAAAAAAATCTATAAACACTGTTGGCACAAAGTCTTTAATCTCCTTCTTCTTCCCTTTCTTCAGCTGTTGTTGATTTCTCTAGCACACAACTAAAATAAGAATTCAGTCACGTAGATGGACATCGAGTTGCGTATTCAAGACGGCATAGATGGCATTCCTAAATAAGCATTTGTATTTATAAATATTGAAATGATCTATCT